GCTGTTGCTACAGTTCCTCCTCGTCCTCCTCCCTTCTTATCCTGCTCCTCCTCCTCGCGCTCGTCCTCATGCTTATCCCCCAGCGCATCCGTATGCTCATCCGCCAAATCTCCCTCCACTGCTCACAGCTTTCAATTTAATATTACGCATAACATTAAGTCGGGCCTGTCCCCCTACAGGGGGATTTTGGACGAACACTTAAACATACCCCAAAAATAGCCCCAAATGGTCAAACGATACTCAAAACATCGTCCCCTGACTATTGTTTGACTATTGTTGGATATTCCCCCTGTAGAGGGACAGGCCCGACTCAAGCATAACACGATAAGGGGTCATGTGGGGTGTTCCAGGTCAGGTGCGTCACCCACGGCATATAGAAAAGACATGGTGTGAGGGTAGGATGTCAAATATGGCGCGAGCGTGCCTAGCTTGCCTCCTCCTCTCTTTCTGCCCCGAATAGTTCCCCAAGGGTTTTCACAACGGATCGGGAGAGCACATAGTCCAACAGCTTGGCCAAGTTGGCCAAATGTTTAGCCAGCCAGGCATTGGCAACAGGCAGAGGCGCGGTGGTTCGCCATAGACGTCTTCGATCTATCTCTGTCTCTCTCTCTCTCTTTCTCTCTCTCTCTCTCTCTTTTTTCTCTGTCTCTCTCTCTCTCTCTCTACATCTATGTGTGCAGACACACCTGCATATGTACATATGTACGTACACATGCACGCATGTATGTATGCAAATATACATGCGCGTATGTGAAATTATGTAGTATACACATGTAAACGGACTGCCCACCGAGCCACCTTGACCCAACCCGAAGTCGCCGTTGGGCCTGCCAATGTCAAATAGGGAGGCGCTCCGGAACATCGAGATACTAACAAAATGGAACCCGCGCACCCTCCAACCCGAACAAGGTCCGGGACCTTCAACTTCTGTTGGGGTGGTTTGGTAACTCGTGATGCGTATAATCAATAGAAAGGTGGGATATATGCCCGCCACCGTGCCTCGTGGCACACAGTGCAGTGTCCTTATGCCACGCTGGAAATCGGATGCCAGTTTCGACCGCTTGCAACAACAGCGAACAAACAACAAAAACAGCGAACAAAAAACGGCGAACAAAAAACGAGGCACCCCCTCTCCCCCGGTGTTAACACTGAAAGGATTCGCACGCGAGGCGTTGGGTTCTGGCCTGATCCTGGCCCTGCGTTCTCGGAGGCTAACTATTGGGATGCCTTTGCTGCACTTAAGGTTCCATACAGCTGCCTCTCCGTCGGGCTACCGTGGGAGCCCCCAAAGCCTTCCGGCGGCAGAGGGTTCGGTGACGCGGAAACCCCGACGACATCACCGAGAACTGTCTGAAATCCCGGGGGGCCCCCGACGCCTCGGACCTCCTGCGACAGGGGCTCGGGCCCACGAGCCGCCCCCGCTTCCGGAACCACATGCTGCCCACTATACAGCTCACTGGACCTTTGCTGGGACTTCCGATGGGAGAACACACACCTCGCCCCTCTCCCTTGGTCTCCGACATCTCCATTTTTCAATGCGCGGATCCAAGAGACCTCTCTCCGGGGGCAAGTTGTCGTCCTGACTCCAGTTTTGACTGTTCCAGCGCCCGAAAGAAGCCCTCACATGTAGAAACTGACGGGGGAGAAAGAAAACGCCAGAAGTGTGGGTGTGAGACGCGCGCCCCATTTGCCCCGCCGCCACCGCCTAAGCTACTCACATTGACTCGCGGACGGGCAGCGGGGCGACAGCCACGGACCGTGATGCCAAGACGCGAGCCGAGGGAAGGCGAGAACATCAGGAGAAGGGGGGAGGAGCACCAGAAAACTGGAGCCAGATGCGGCAGGAGAAACTTCTGAACATGAGGCCTAGAGCTGGGTGCACGTGCGGGGAGCCAGGGTGCACGTCCGAACGATGGCCGAACACTGGGAGCACACGAGGCCAAATGCGTGTCCACGACTCGCCCACGCCAGCCATGTCATGCGCACCCAGCTTGCAGGTAGAGGCCCAGGTAACATGTACGACAAGGCACGATGAGCGCACTCTGAAAAATGGTATCAAGATGACGCCAGCTGTGAACTTACACCGATTGTGACCAAGCCCTTCCTGAGACCCAAGGTTGGTATACGTGCGACCCCCTGGTTTGCCGAGAGGGCGTGACACACCAATGCTGCTGTTCCCCAGGATCGGCCTGGACAGGATCAGCGTCGGCGTACAGAGTTAGCGCCCACCGACGTCTGTCACAAAAAACGTTTCTTTTCCACGCGCATCGCGCAGGGACGGAATGGGATCTCCCGGTGCGCAGCGCGCGCGCGCTAGATGGCCTCTGCGCCGCGCCGCTGGCAGTGCCTGGCGGGGGGCTCAGGGCGAAAGGGGTAGCAAAAGCCAGGAAAAGGGGGGAGGCGGGAAAGGGGGGGCCACCTCCGTCATTCCACTCCCCCATCCAGTCGCGCACGATCCCCAACGTCCTTATCCCCGATTTTGTTATCCCATCCCACACGTCTCGTCTGCACCCAACTATAATGACAAGGCGCAGGACTGGTCCCGGCGTCTCCGAGGTCCCGTCACGAAAGCAGGCTGATGCGAGGCGATCCATCAGCAAAACCGTCAAAGGTCGTGAGCACACTGTCGCCACCACCGTGGTTTCTTCGCATGTCCAAGTCAAAAACATATTTTGTGCGGGGGTTCCTGTGGCTGATGCCTTGGCCGAGGTGGCGATCCGAGACTGTCTGAAGCATAGCTTTCTGGGTGAACGATCCTGGAGCGAAAGCGAGGCTGATTCGCCGGGGGGCCACCACGGCAACGATGGGCTCCCATCAAATGCCGCGGTGGTCGGATGTTCGTGGAGATCCGAACCCTGCTGTTGCTGCTTCCCCTCCATAATCCTTCGCCCCTTAGTTGAGATATAACCATGTAAAAACAAAAAAAACGCAGGGGTGCTTTTCCCCTGTTTGCAAGATCTGTTGTTTGAACTCCACGCTCTGTCCGCCAAGTTTAGCCAGGCACCCTACGGCGGGGGGAGGGAGCCTGCACCTATTGAGCGCCTATTTTGTTTTGAGCGCCTATTTTGTTACGCACTCAGGTCCGGGATCGGTCCGTGGCCAGCCTGCCGATTCAGTACGCTGTTCAAAAAAAAAACACGATGCCGCCTGCCTGACGTCCACATCTCAGGGCGTCGTGTTTAGAACGTTGTGGTCGAACCAAGGCGAAAAGCGGGAGACGAAGAAGAACAAAAACGCCCCCGACGTGTTCGTTTCTGGAACAGCAGAGCTCCGCCCCCGTCGGCTGTGACCATGTTCGGTGGCAACTCATGGCAGCCTCCCATAGCATCTTGCTGACTCTTGCGCATCGACGCTAATCGACGCTAACTGACGCCAAATCGACGCTACCTCGTCGACTACTGGACGCGAACCGACGCTAGCCGCTATCGCACGCGAAAGGCGGACTTGCGAGGATACACGGCAAGTTCGCGTCGCGATGACGTCCGCGTTGGTCTCCCCGCGCGGACCGCTCAACCATGAGCGATCGGCGGCTTTTCGATGGCCGAATCGTTCCATATGATGGTGGGTTCTTGGCCACTGGCGGCGCTCAACCCTGAACGCCCGCGGCGGGGTCGCCGTCGCGTGAACGCGGCGCGAACCTGCCCAACACGAGGCTCCCATGAGCTGCTACCGAGACCCTCCCTGGCGAGGTCGCCGGAAGAGCAGCGAGGGGCGCCGGAGGCTCCTGGGGGGAGGCTCTCCCGAGGGGGGGCTCCCTGGGTGGCTTCTGAGGGTGGCTTCTCGAGGGCAGCTGCTGAGGTCAGGCTCACTGCGGGAGGCCCCCCCGAGGGAGGCTCCCCGTGACCTGCCGAACCGAGGCCCTGCCCCCTCGTCCAGGCACGTGCCGGCTGCCAAGGGCTCGCGGCGCGGCGAGGGGGCCGATGCCAGGGCTCTTCACACCGAGGGCACGAGCCCAGAGGCCGCGCAACAGACGGGGAGAGGGGGGGCTGGAAGCCACCTGTGTTTCGGAGGGGCCCCTCGCGCCCCCTCCTCCCTCTTGCCCGCCCCCACCCCCTCCTTGCCTTTCTCCTCTGGGAGGGCCCCTGGAGATCTTCGGTCTTCCTCCTCCCCCAGGATCGACGAGCCATCTACTGGAGGTTCTTTATGTTCATGTCGGCGAAAACCCACATTATCCGGGGAGGGATGCGCCGGCCAATGACAGAACCTTTCCGCTGTGGGCAGCCCCAAGTATGCCCGCGCGCGCGACAAGGCCAGGTTATCCAGGTGGAAAAAGGGGCCAACGGGCCCGATAACCCGGGTTACTGCTGGACCCATGAAAGAACAGCCTCCTGAGGGGCTTCATATTCGTATATACGGCAGATGAAGTTCATCAGCTGCTGTTGAGAGAGGACAGTCATTGTTGGCTGAATCGTGTTGGTGGGTTTTCCTTGGGGGCTGGCTCAACTATAGGAAATGCGCAAACCCTGCCCCCCTGGCGCCGTAAGTAAGAAGCGCAAGGAATTGCTTGACGGGTTGAATCGGGGCCTGAGGCGCAACGCTTGACCCTACAAGTCTTCATGTTGTTCATATGAGTTTGGTAATGGCACACTCTTTACGTTCTTTCCAACTCCTCTTCCTCATGCTCCTCCTCCTCCTGCGACCTCATCCCTTCGAGCACGCGCAATACCGTCAGCACAGGCCAGGTCAGGTTCAATGAGAAAGCATGGAAAAAAGGCTTGGTAACTGGTTTGCGCGACCTGGGAAGAACGTATATGAGATCGTGTGAAATCGTGGTGCTGTAGTCCATGAGTGCATGTTAGGGTCGGCAACCAAATCGGGCAGCAGTTCAAGGGAAAACGTTGGAAGCCCGAATGCTATCACTGAGTGGATTGTGCTGCTTGGTCAGCGAGTCTGGTATCCCTCCTCTGTGTCCTCGGCGACGACGACGACGACGTGGGCAACGACGACAAAAAACGACGACGACGACGACGACGACAGGGACGTCAGCGTCGGCGGCGGCGGGGACGACCTAAAGGCGACGACAACGGCCACGGCGCCGGCGGCGAAAAAGACGACGACGACGACCACGCGTGCGCGAGCAGGCGGTCCGTCCGGGCACCGCGCCTTTCAGAGCCTCGCGGAGAGCGACGGGCGCGTGCAGAGTCAGAGCGACCCAGACTTCCGCCGTGGGCGGGCGGGCGTCACCGATCGAAGCGGGGCCTCAGCCCCCCCCCCCCCTCCTCCTCCTCCTCCCCTTTCCCCATTCTCCTTGTTCCTCCTCATTGTCCCTCCTCCTCCTCCTTCATCCTCCTCCTCCTCGTCCCTACTCACTCCAACTGTTTCATCCTCCATCGCCATCATCATCAACAACCTCATCATCGTCATCGTCATCGCCAGCGCCATTGTCGTCGTCATCATCATCATCAGCATCAGCATCATCAGCATCATCACATTTACCATCAACATCATCACCACCACCACCACCATCATCATCATCAGCATCGGCAGCATCATCATCACCAGCATCAGCAGCATCAGCATCATCATCAGCATCAACAACAACATCAACATCAACATCAACATCAACATCAAAATCAACATCAACATCAACATCAACATCAACATCAACATCAACATCATCAGCAGCAGCAACATCACCACCATCAAGACCAGCACCATCATCACCATCATCATCGTCATCACCACCGAAGACAAGACCACCACCGCCACCATCACCGTAGCGCCGGCAGGAAGGCCTCCGCCGTCTTCGGCACGGCCTCCGCCTCACCGTGCGCGTCCGGCCGGGGGGGGGTCCTGAGCCGCTCCAAGGCCGTTGGGGGCCGCGCAGCCGCTCCCGCTGACGCCAGGCCGGCCGCGCCTGGCCTCGCCGCGCGGCCTGACCTCGCCGCGGCGTCGGGTACTCGCCTCGGGAATCTGGCGGCCGACGGCCCCGCGAGGCCGTCGGCGGGGGGGCCGTTGGGGCTTCGGGGGCACGCACCGCCAAGCCAGAGGGCCCAGGCGGAACGGGGCGGCTGCACTGCGTGGTCTCTGCGGACCTCCGACAGCAGGGGACCAGCGGGGCGCTCGTCCAGTCTGGACGTCTGGGTGCGCTTCCTCGTCTCCAGCTGCGCCGAGGTTCGCTCGCGCAGCCTCCTTGCGCGCTGAGCAATCCAGCGCGGCTGACACGGCGTTGGCGCACTGCGCGGCGTCCGCGGGGCGGGATAACCATCACCAGAACCACCACCATCACCGCCACCACCACCATCACCACCACCAACAACAACAACAACAATCATTTCAAGACTGTTCGCTCTTATCTGCTCGAGTGTCCGTTAACGCATATTTCCCAAACCCTCGATACCCGCCCTCGTCGTCTTCGATCGTACCCCTTTTGGGGGGGATACCTTTCTTCCCTGCAGGCCGGGCCCCGGCAAGCGGCGGGGCGGCCGCGGACCGTCGGCCTGGCCAGCGGCAGCGCTGATCGGCGGCAACCCGACCCCAAGAGGGACGGACAGGGGACCGACCACGACGACGACGACGACGTCGACGACGGCGACGACGACGAGCGAAAGCGACAGCGAGAGAGAGAACGCTAGCAGGGCCACGAAGGGCACGAAGTAGGCCACGAAGGGCGACAGCGGGGACAAGAAGGGAATGCGTATGGGGCCACGAACAGCGCGAACGAGCGGAGGCCACAAAGGGCAGATAATGCAGGGCCACAGAAGGCGACGACGGGGCCACTGAGGGTAGCAACTGGGCCACGTAGGACAACGAGGGGGCCACAAAGGGCGACAGCGGGGCCACGAAGGGCATGCACATGGGGCCACGACGGGCGCGAACGAGCGGGGGCCACGGAGGGCATACGTATATTGGGCCACGGAGGGCAAGGACGGGGCCATCGAGGGCAGCAACGGGACCACGAAGGGCTGCAACGGGGCCACGAAGGGCGACAGCGGGGCCACGAAGGGCATGCATATGGGGCCACGATGGGAGCGAACAAGCGGAGGCCACGAAGGGCAGCGAGGGGGCCACAAAGGGCTGCAACGGGGCCACGAAGGGCATAGAGGGGGCCACGAGGAAATGCAACGGGGCCACGAAGGGCAGCGAGGGAGCCACGAAGCGCTGCAACGGGGACACGAAGGGCTGCAACGGGGCCACGAAGGGCTGCAACGAGGCCACGACGGGCAGCGATGGGGCCACGAACTGCTGCAACGGGGCCACGAAGGGCAGCGAGGGGGCCACGAAGGGGTGGAACGGGGCCACGAATGGCAACGAGGGGGCCACGAAGGGCTGCAACGGGGCCACGAAGGGCAGCGAGGGGGCCACGAAGGGCTGGAGCGGGGCTACGAAGGGCAGCGAGATCCCGATTCCTAAGTTACCTGTGAGGGAGTCCTAAGCGTGAGCGCGACTCTTGGGTTCCTGACCTCCTGCTCTGTTTCCTCTTTCCTTACCTCCGTTAGGCCCCCCTCCTCACCGCCCACTTGAACTTCCGACCCACTCCCTGGGATTGACCTGCCCTCCTGGGTTGCTCTTGTCGACGGTTCCGCAGCCGAGTGGCGGTCTCCAGACGCAAAACACTGCGGGACATAACTCTGGCGCCAGTCTTCGGGCCGCCATACGCATGAGCCCCTTTCTCGATCAGCGTGGGGAGACGAGCCCAGACTCCAACTCCTGATGGCCAGGTGGACGGACGCGCTGGCTCTCCAAGGCCAGCTCCGAAAGGAAAGAAGGATGAGAAGGCGAGGAGGCGAGATGGGAGGGGGGGAGGTGGCGCGGATGTAGGAGAGCTCCAAGCGGTACACCACCACCAGCCCCCGGCCAGGCCCATCCTGGGCCCTGGACTGGTGTACAGGCCCTCCTGGCCTGGGCCTGGAGGCCTATACACCAGTCGAAGGCCCAAAATGGACCAGGGCCGATGGTGGTGTGCTTTTGGCGTCCCTCCGAGCAGAGAGGAGGCCTGAGGGGGCCGGGGTGGGCGGCGCCGCTTCGGTCGGCGAGGTGCGAAAATGCAATCGCAGCCACCGCGACGGCAGCCGAGCGTTAAGTCGGGCCTGTCCCCCTACAAGGGGATTTTCGACGAAAAATAAACAATACCCCAAACATAATCAAAACATAGTCCAAAAATACTCCGGGGACATTTTTGGTGTATTTGTTTGCCTTTTTGGGGTATTGTTGGGGTATTTTTGATTTGTCGTCGAAAATCCCCTTGTAGGGGGACACGCCCGACATAAGCCGAGCGCGAAGCTAGCAATCCCCCGAGACCTCCGAAGGATCAGTCTGTCCGGCCCGCGGGCCACAGAAGGCATCGACCCCGTCTCCGAGAGCAGGAGAGCAGGCGTCCGTCCCGGATCCACGCTTGATCCTCATGGAGACCGAAAACGGCCCCCGAAAGCCAAGCAGAAATTGAGCAGGGACTGACCGTCCCGGCATTCCTATAGGCCTATCACGAAATTCTCTCAGAACCCAGAAAATGTTCCAAGAGCAAAAACAGTGTTCTTAAAACGTAACTCCACCGTGTTAAAACAAGACAGTCCCAACCAGAAACGTTCTAAGAACATTTCATGTAGACGACAAAAGATTCTTAGACCGTTCTTCGGTGGGCCTATAGGAAAGCCGGGACGCCTCGCCACTGCTCGAAGAGACGTCAACACGGAAGAATCGATCCGCCGGAGGTCCGGTCCAGACCACGCCGCACTGCCCCACTGCGGCGCGCCCGCCAGGCCGGCCGCGAGCCGTCGGGCCCCCGAGCCGCTCACTTCGAGCGCTGGCGCATCTTGCGGCGCTTCTTCTGCAGCCGGCGCGTCCTCTCAGGATGACGAAGCACACACGCACACACGCACACTCTCGCACGCACGAGCGGCAAAAAGGCATGGCCACAGGCTGAGGCAGCTGACGCCCACGGCGTGTCACTTCGTATCAGGGCCCCGCGTCAACATGATGCTAGTGGCCGTGGTGGGAGTGATGAAGATGCCCGATTGCTATGATGTTGATGATGATGATGATGATGATGATGTTGATGATGATGATGACGATGATGATGAGAACGCGTACAGGCGATGACGGTGATGGCGATGGCGGTGATTATGATGATGATGTTGATGATGCTGATGACGATGATGATGCTGATGTTGATGCTGATGGTGCTGATGGTGCTGATGGTGATTGCGATAATTATGATGATGCTGATGATGGTGATGATGATGATGGTGATGGTGCTGACCATGATAATAATGATGATGATGATGATGATGATCATGATGATCATGATGATGATGATGATGATGATGATGATGATGATGATGATGATGATGATGATATGATGATGATGATGATGATGATGATGATGATGATGATGATGATGATGATGATGATGATGATGATGACGATGATGATGATGATGATAATACTGATGATGAGAATGGTGGTGGTGGTGGTGGTGACGACGACGACGACGTTGGCCTTCTCGATAACGGTAAGGACGACAGCAGAGATGATGCACGGTGGATGAGCGGCCGCGGCGAAAGCGATGTCCGCCGCGCCGCGGACTCGCGCAACGCTGGTCACCGCGACCACCAGGAGGCGCGCCAGGTCTGCCCATCGGACCGCCAGATGCGCGTCAGGGCTTCCGAGCCCCAGTGGCCGCACTCTCTCTCTCTCTCTCTCCCTCGCTCTCTCTTTCTGTCTCTCTCTGTCTTATCGAGTCAGCGCGCGTTCTGCCTCGCCCGCGCCCCTGGGTCGTGGAAACGGTGTGGCTCCCCTTGGAAGAGACGACCCGCTGCTTGAGGCACAGCTGATATAGGTCGCGGCACGAGCGCAAGGCGAGGCAAAAGTGGACTCGCCAGCGCGACGCACTGGCCAGGCCAGCGGTGATGCGCCGCACCTCGGGAGATCCGCCAGAGGCACGATCGCGGTCGAGGAAAGTCGCTTCACCCCCGTTCCAGCTCCAACATCCCATCGACGTCCACGCAGTCAGGGGCCCGATGATGCCGTTGAACGCAGCGACCACGCGGCCAACTGCGCGCCGCGGAGCTCTTCTCGAACCGACGGTCCGAGATCCGCACGTCGCGCACTCGACCGGCGAGGTCCCGGGTGGCCTCCTTCCAGGTGCGGGGTCCCCAGCAGCGCAGCCGGCCCTCGCGCCCAGCGAGCACGTGCTCGACACAATCGGCATTTGGGCAGCCCCGCCGTGTGTGCTCTGCGGCATCGAGCCCCTCTCGCGCCAGCGCGCCGAGCTTGTCGCCGAGGACGGCGTCGGGGAGTGCGCTGGCGACCGCAAACAGGCGCGCCGCGCCAGCGGCGCCGACCTCCCCCAGTCGCAGGCGAGCGCGATCAGCGGCAACGGCAAGCAGAGTGCCAGAGCAAGAACGCCCTGTCATCATTCTGCGCCGTGGTGATGCAGGGCTCGGGCGAAGCAGTGTTGTCCGTGTTCGTTGTGTTCCGCCTTTGCTGCTCAACGATGCCAAAACGAGACGGGTCCATGAGACGACCAAAACACTGCTTAACTCGCGCCCTGATAATACTAAGGACTACGTCGGCGGAGTAGGGCAGCCAGCTGCGCCACTAGGAGTCAAGTACGAGAGATGCGCGACTCAGGCATCAGACCCTTTCACAGGGCGCCGCGTCTGGTTTGAATGGTCCACCACCGCGACGTCAAGGGACAAGGTTGGTTTCCCCCCCCCGTTGCGTCACAGTCGTATGCGTCCCTCCCCTATGAACATTTTCTTATTCGGCGCTTCGACATTTTGCGGAAAGGGAAGGGAGGGGAGAGTGTGGCTCTGGACCTCTGCTTAATCCGACTGTGTGCAACAGTGCGTCCTATGGAAACGACTCCACCTGCTCGAAACAGGCGCCAAAAACAACCAAGATCTACTCCAGGGGAGGGGAAGGGTGGGGTGCGAGGGCCCGCGCCGGTTGGCAACACAATGAGTAAGAAAACGATCACCACATCACACTGCTTGCTTGTCTGTCTGACTTCCCTCCTGCAATTCATCATGCTCTTCCTTTGACTACGATTGGCGAATGTGAGCGTCGCCGCGAAAAACGGTTTCAGTCCCTGTGTTGCTTCCATAGCTGTTCCACTCGATGAGATCGAACTGGAGCGTTCTCGCTGGCTCCCTCGCAGCGGCTAGCGACGACATTCGGTAGGCCTGCCGCCTGAGCCGCGTAGCGGCGTCGTTGACGCACACCGATGCTGCCAAAACTACTGCAGGATATGAGGGTTTATGTCGTCACGTTCAATGCAGCGGCCGCGGTCTAGACAGCAGCAGCAATGATGACGACGACAACGATAGCGATGGCGATGGGGATCAGACTAACAATGATTATGATAATACGGATGGTGATGATGACAACGATGATGATGATGATGGATGATGATGATGATGATGATGATGATGATGATGATGATGATGATGATGATGATGATGATGATGATGATGATGATGATGGTGATGGTGATGGTGATGGTGATGGAAATGATGATGATGATGATGATGATGATGATGATGATGATGATGATGATGATGATGATGATGATGATGATGGTGATGGTGCTGATGATGATGATGAGATGAAGGTGATGATGATGGTGATGATGATGCTGATGATGATGGTGATGGTGATGGTGATGGTGACGGTCGTGATACGGTGATGACGATGATTGCTATGATGATGCTAGAGCGATGGCGAACGATGGTATTGATGACGAAGCTTGCGGTGAGGATGGTCATGACTCCGGCTTCCGGCACCAGTCCGACGTGGACGTGCAAGTCAAATCCTGAATCTGATGCCTACCCCGTCGTGGACCAGCTGGGTGGGAAAGCGAGCGCTTACGCTCGACAACGCGCTGGAAACTCACGCGCGAACGTCCGCGCAGTCGACCTCCCTTTAAAATGACGTTCGACGGACGCCCAGCGTCATGAAGAAATCAAGGCGGATACTTCTCACCGTCTGTCGGCCTCTGGGGACCAGTGTCGCGCCCCGGGGGCGTCAGGAACAGGTTTGCAACGAAAACGCAGCCCGCGGTCAATGGAGGAAAAACAAATTCAGGTCCGCGCGGATTTCTTGGTTCGGCGCTGGACCCCTTACCTGGCGCGCGGAGCGCGCCAAGGGCGGCGCCAAAGGCACCTCTAGGGCGTTCCGGCGCCGATCCGAGAACTCCGCGCTGACCTCCCACAGTTCACGATGTCTTGGGCCAGCGAAGCAAAAACAATCACGACCTCGAAGGTCTGAGAGATTTCCGCCAACGTCGGCGACTCCGACGGGTATGTTTTGCACCTCGCGCCCCGGGGGGAGGGCGGACGAGGACCTCGACAGAGATTTCCGCCACGCCCCCACGAGGGCTCAGCAAGCCTCTGGCGCCACGGGGTGGCCCCCCATGCCAGCCACGGCGGCGCCGATGGCAAACCACACTATTTGGCGTAACCGCACCAATGGTCGTCGCCGACAGCGCCGAACCCCGAGCCCCTCGGCGGCGCGCCAAGTTGTGCCCGCGGGCGGCGCCGCCCATGGTAGAAGAAGAAAAAAACCAGCATAGACATAATCGTTTGGCGCTCCGCGCGGATTTCTTGGATCTGGGCTGAACCCCCCTCCCTGGCGCGCGGAGCGCGCCACGGGCCGCGCCAGCGGCGCCGCTGGGGAGGCCCAGCGCGGATCCAAGAAACCCGCGCGGAGCGCCAAAAATTGATGTTTATGTTTATGGCGTTTTGTCTCCTCGACATGGGTTCCTCGGAGGGGGCCCGGAGCCTGGGGCACACCCTGCCGCCTCCTGGGCATGAGGGCAAAGAGTGAGCCCTGGTGGAGACGGGTCCTGGCGGTGGCTCCAAGAAGGGGGGGGCGATGAAACGGGCACCCTCCGTGCGAAAGCTGTACCTTTTCTCAGCATCCCGTGGCGGCCCCCGATTATAGGGAGATCGATGCAATTACCGATACCGCCGGTCGCTGCTCCCGAGGACCTCTCCCGGGGTGCAGGCCTTCGAGGCAGCTCCTCCCCCGCTCCCCCCAGGCTCAAGAGCTGGCACGCGCGGAGGAGACAGCGGCCGAAGTGGAACTCATCCGACCCACCGCCAACCCTGAACACTCGGGGGGGGGGAGGGGGGCGTGATCGCTGCGTCTGCTCCGAGGCCCGGCATGGGCACCCCTGCCTCCCCCGACGCTGCGCCAGGGCCGCTGCTGGGCCCCGCGGGCTCTCTCCCCGGGGCCGCCTCCCGCCCCGAAAGGCTCTGCGCTGGCGGCTCCCCCGGGCCGAGGGGAGGGCCCCCCCGAGAGCCCGAGCGCGGCGCAGCACGGGCCGCCCAGGGCCGGGCGCCTCCCGGCGCCTCCACTTTTGGGGAGCAAGCGAACCTGCCTCGCTTTTGACCACCCCTGCTTCCAAAGAAGAAGAAGAAGAAGAAGAAGAAGAAGAAAGACGGCATCACCATAAACTGTTGGCACTCCGCGCGGATTTCTTGGATCCGCGCCTGGCCCCCCGGATTTCTTCTTCGGCAAAAGGTACCAAACCACACCAGGCTACCGCCCGCACACCAGTCAGACCGCTTGGCGAGGAGGCGCGTGGTACGACTTGGTTTTGTCTGGAAGCAAAAACGATCTCTCCTGATCAGTTCGGCTGAACAGTGCACATCGGCGGTCACATCGGGGGGGGGCCCTAGATGGGGTCCGAGTAGATGGGGACGGAGGATCGCGCCGCATCGGCGACGTCGGCGAGGCATCGGCGCCGTCGGCATGGAGCAAATCGGGTTCCAAATCGAACCGCATCGCCGATGCATCGGCGACGTGGCGCGACCCTCCGAACCCATCTACTCCGACCCCATCTGAAAGGCCCAAAACACGGCGTAACTCAACAGGAAAAGAACATTGTCGGAAATCAGTAAACTAGGAACTACAAATATCAGTAGCATCTTGTGCGCTGACACTTTGTTTAACCATGCATTTGAATAGTCGAACGCATCTAGCCCACTGGTGCTGCCAGCTGCAGAGCGACCTCAGCAGCACAAAGCCCATGAAACCCAGGGAGAATCCGCGGCCCCGGCCATGATATCCACGCACCCCAGGTCACCACCCCCCTCTCGGACGCACGCGAGTCCTCTTCTTCTTCCACTTCCACCGGAACATCGAGCGCGCCTTCTTGTACGGGTTGGACTTGTGCGCCATCGCGGCGGGCTGCCCGCGAGGCTCTCCCAGTGGTGCCGCGCGTCTGGCTCAAGGGCCCGAGCCGGCCGCTGTCGGCAGCGACGAGCGCGGATCGCAGAGAGGAGGGGCGCTGTCCCAGATCGAGGCCTCGGGAAACGATGACCCGGGTGCCCAAAGAGGCAGACGCTTCGGCTTTTGGTGAGTCTCTCGGGACGCCGGGCGGTCCTGGATCCGAGAGTGGCGCTTCTACACATCGACCGCCTCCTGAGTTCGCGGCACCCCAGGAGGGGCGCTGTCCCAGATCGAGGCCTCGGGAAACGATGTCCCAGGGGTCCGCAGGAAGCAGTGGGCAAGATCGGTCAGCATCGAATCGGAAAATCTGATCGAATCGATATGGGCATCGGACCGAGCTGCATCTGCGCGGAATCGAAATCGGATCTGATCGGCTGCGCCAGGATGCACGACAACCTCATGCAAGCATCGCACCGCATCGGATCGTCGGATTTTTGGAATCGAATCAGGCCCGCCAGCATCGATATCGAGTCGGATCGACTGGACCGAAATGCACCCTGGCTGTGGGCATGCTTGGCCTCCCCAAGAGGGCACGGAGGTGTCCAGATCCACCGCCTCCTGAGGCACTGGGAGCCCAGGAGGCGATGTGCGTAGAAGCGTCAGCCTTGGAGCCAGGACGGAACGGTGGCAAGGAGGCCCCAAAGGCGGTCCAGGAGGCCCGAGTCGCAAACAAGTCGCTCCAAGACGCCCAAGATGGCCCACAGACGGCCCAAGAGGCCCTCAACAAGCCCCAAGAGGGTTTCAATCGCCCCCCCTAAGAGGGACACGAGGTATCAAAATCATTGGGGTGCCTTAGGTTGTTGACGGATGTTAGTGGTCTCGCCTTTTCGGGCTTTCGACGCTCCAAGATGAATCAAGAGGACCCCAAGACCGCCCCCAAGACTGCCCAAAAAAGCCTTCGAGGGGGCCCAAGAGGAGGAACACGAACTGACATGTCGAGCCCTTCGCCCCAAGATGGACCCCGAGATCGCCAGCAAGCCCCCAGGAGGCCCCCCACAAGCTCCAGGAGGCCCCCAAGAGGCCCAACTCAGGCTCCAAGAGCAAGAAACCCCCGAGAGGCCCACGAGACATCCCCACAGGCATCCCTGAGGCCTCTGACCTACAACCCAGGCACGGTGGCGAGATGGGCCGAAGGCCAATCTCAATCTCTCTATCTTTCTCTCTCTCTCTCTCTCGTTCTCTTTATTTATCTCTCTCTCTGCATATCGAGAGATATCTACATTTTATATGTGTGTGCTTGGTTATATTCCTCTCCCCCCCTCTCTCTCTCATCTCTCTCTCTCTCTCTCTCTCTCTCTCTATATATATATATACATCCGACTTTGCGTGTCCCTCACTCTCTCTCGTCCTATGTCTCTTTATCATTAAATATCTCTCTCTCTCACTCTCCCTCTCCCTCTCTCCTGCTTCCGTCCCGCACTCTGTCTCGGTTTAGCATTAATGTCTCTACCCTGACTATTCACTCTGCTCTCTGATATATACTCTCAAGCCGCTCTAATAGTTCAGCTGCTCTCTGATATCACCGACATCGACTGCCTTCTCTCGACATCGACTGCATTCGACACGCGAACCCGAGAACCCGGAACCAAGGAGCAAAAACCTGGGGCCCCGACCGCCCACTGGAATCGGCGAAGCTTTTGCACTGCGCCCTTTCAGTCGCAAGGGCCCAAGATCCCAGAAGCCCGGCCACCGACCGAACTCTCAGGAGGCCGGGATCCCAGCCGCCCACCGAACTCGGCAAGATTCTCTCCTCCTACTCTCTGAACGTCCGCGAGGACACCTTCAGTGCAAGCACTGATTGGGGAATTTCTGCCACGACCGCACTGACTGGGGACTCAACAAGGAGGGACGGGCAGGGTAACTTTGATGAAGCACAGCATCCGTAAAGTTAGTTCTTAGCCGTTGTAGAGCTCGGTGGGACGCCAAGCATACAATCGAAAGACTGAAGCTTGAGCCTAAGCTTCAACTTTGGAATCCGCGTGCGAGGCGAGAAAGTATACTGTTGTTGCATGGCAGGTTTGTCGGTCTAGCTTCAGCTTTGAATTCCGCGTACGAGGCGAGAGCGGTCTCGGAAGGTTCAGGGAGGGTCTGAAGCCCACGGCGCCGACGACCATGAACAGAATTACAGTGTTTATTACCTAACAGCGTAGACTGATAGGTTTCTAGTTGACTCAAAAGAGCTCACAGATCACTCCACAGGGGGGTCCGGGCAGGCGTTGGGAGTTGCCGGCCGGCAGGGTGCCGGGCCTGTGCCAGGCTCGTTTTTCACCAACAGTCACACACTTCGTGCTCGTCGACCTCTCAGAACCCCATTCCCAGGCCACATTCTGAATAACCGGATGCAACAGTCACACACTTGGTGCTCCTTGACCTCCCAGAACGCCATTCCCGGGCCACATTTTGGATGCCCGGAGCCAACTGTAGGCCACTTCGTGCTCTTCTACTTCCCAGAACTCCATTCCCGGGCCACATTTTGGATGCCCGGAGCCAACTGTAGGCCACTTCGTGCTCTTCGAGTTCCCAGAACTCCATTCCCGGGCCACATTTTGAATGCCCGGAGCCAACTGTAGGCCACTTCGTGCTCTTCAAGTTCCCAGAACTCCATTCCTGGGCATGATTTTGAATGCCCGGAGCCAACTGTAGGCCACTTCGTGTTCTTCTAGTTCCCAGAACTCCATTCCTGGGCCACATTTTGAATGCTGAGGCAGGCTGATGCTGCGGCCGAGGCAGGCTGAGGCTGAGGCAGGCTGAGGCTGAGGCCGAGGCTGAAGGCAGACTGAGGCTGAGGCTGAAGCAGACTGAGGCTGAGGCTGAGGCAGGCTGAGGCTGAGGCTGAAGCAGGCTGATGCTGAGGCAGGCTGAGGCTGAGGCTGAGGCTGATGCAGGCTGAGGCTGAGGCAGGCTGAGGCTGAGGCCGAGGCTGAAGGCAGACTGAGGCTGAGGCTGAAGCAGGCTGAGGCTGAGGCTGAGGCAGGCTGAGGCTGAGGCAGGCTGAGGCTGAGGCTGAGGCAGGCTGAGGCTGAGGCTGTGACTGCGACTGCCGTTGCCGCTGCGACTGTCATCGCGAATGCGACTACGACTGCGAGAACAGCAGAATTCTACAACTGGATTTTCATCTGAATCTTAAGGGGAATGCTTTCAGATATGCTTCTACACATCGCTGTTAGGTTGCTTTGCCGGGATAATCTGAATCTTAAGGGGAATGCTTTCAGATATGCTTCTACACATCGCTGTTAGGTTGCTTTGCCGGGATAATTTGCTTTGCAGTTTTTGTTGCATGGCAATTTGTTTGTTGCATTGCAATTTTGCCGTTCTTGCTTCAGCTTTGCATTCCGCGTGCGAGGCGAGAGCGATTTGGGGAGGTCCAGGGAGGGTCTGAAACCCACGGCGCCAACGACAATGATCAGAATTACAGTTTTGTGTTCGCATTGCATTGTTGCTTGCTTTGCAGATTTTGCTGTGAATATTTGCCGCTCTAGCTTCATCTTTGAATTTCGCGTGCGAGGCGAGAGCGGGTTTGGGAGGTCCAGGGAGGGTATGAAGCCTACGGCGCCAACAACCATGATCAGAATTTCAATGTTGTTTGCGTTGCAGTGTGTTTCGCTGCTGTTTGTTTTGCACTGCAGTTTGTTTGATGCATTGTAATTTGTTGCAATGCAATTTGTGTTGCACATTGCCGTTCTAGCTTCAGCTTTGGATTCCGCGTGCGAGACGAGAGCGGTTTGGGGCGCTCTTGGAGCCGAATTGGTGCCTTCTTGGACCCCATCTTGGAAACTTTTTCGGACATCTTGGGATCATCTTGAGCCCACAAGAGACTATCGGAGGCGAAAAGGCGGGAAAAGGAAACATCATCGATTTGATGTAATCGCTTTGCTCATTCCGCCAGCCTGTATTGTGCCATCGCTGGCGTTTGGGGGCCTCTTGGGGCTCTCTTGGGGCGTTTTGGGAACCTCTTGGTGCCTCTTGGGGGTCTCTTGGGGACTTATTGGAGCCTCCTGGGCGCCTCTTGGGGCCGAGGGCTGGAAATGTCCGTTCGGGTTCCCCGTCTGGGTCCCCTCTTGGGGCCGTCCTGGGACCATCTTGGGCCATCTTGGAGGCCTCTTGGGCCGTCTTGAGGCCCTCTTGGACCGTCATGGGGCCCTCTTGGAGACCTCTTCGGCCGTCTTGGGGCGATATTTAGGGCCTCTTTGGCCGTCTTTCAGCGTCGGGAAGCCGAACAGGTGAGAAGGCCCAACTACTTCAAAAGCCAAAAAAGGAACTCGATGAACTTTGCCTCCCGGGGCCTTCTTGAGAACTCTTCGTGGAGACCTCTTTGGGCGTCTTACAGACGTCTGCGGCCGTCTGGAGGCTATCTTGAGCGTCTTGGACCGATCGGTCGGCGACTCGGAGCCCTCTTGGACCATCTTAGGGGCCTCTTGAGGCCGTCTTGAAACGCTCTGGGGGTCCCGAAAACCGCCCCGCTGAGTTCCGGCATCCTTGGGCGGACCTTGCCCAGATACTTATCGTCCCAGGAATTCCAGGGGCCGGCCCGCGCGCGCGAACTAGAAATATCGTTGACCAGTTACCAGGGATTTAGCACGCCTCTGGCCCGTTGGGCCGGCGAATTAAGTTTTTAGAAGGGCTTCGGCCTCTTGGAGGCCTCTAGGGGCGCTCTTGAAGCCATCTTGGAGCCATCTGGGGCCCCTCTTGGGCCTCTCTTGGGCCATCTTGGAGGCCATCGACCAACAAAGAAGGCGGCGTCAATTTAGATCCCCCCGTCGGGACCCTCAAAATCGCCTCTTGGAGCTCCTTTGGGACGCTGGGCGCTCTTGGGGCCGTCTTGGGCCTTCCTTTGGACCCCTCTTGAGAATCTCTGGGTCCATGCCAGAGCCATCTCCAGGCTTCAGAAGCCCATCGGAAGCGAAAAGGCGAGAAGGCCATCAAAAGCATTGGTTTCCAGTAGGTTTTGGACGGTTGTTGGCCTCTCCAGGGCGTCCTTGGGAGGCCCTTTGGCAATTTTTGGTTTTAAGCAGGAACATGATCGCCAGCTAGCCCGCCACTTGCAATTGGAGACCGCTACCGCGCCCTCGCAACCCTCGCCGCCCTCAACGATTAATACGGCAGGCCCACTTCCCACTTTCACTGCTAGCCCAACATTGGCAACCACCGCTTATCACAGACGTTGTCCCGGCCATCATCAAGAACGGCGCCGCCGCGAAGCAACCTATGAAAGTAAACGCGCAGTCCAAAAAAGCGGCGCCCACGGCGGCTGCACCTCCTGCCATGGCCCCTATCTGTCCACCTGTGCAACTCGCCCTGCGCCGCCTGCGCCGCCTGCTTCCTTTCTGCGTGAGCGCACCATCCATCCCCTTGGCAAAAGAAACTTTGCGTAACTGCGCCTCTAGGCGCCTCTCGAGGGAAGCTGGCATCTCCTGCGATTGGAGCACCTCGACCATCTCTTCATGGCTCACCCAGACGATCTCCGTCCCAGAAGGAATCTCGAAGGCCAGGGTGTGACCCACAGGTGCCTCGCTGACGAAATCGAAGGCCATGCCCATGAACGTGTTTGGGCTTTGCGCTGAAACTGCGAACGTGTTGTTCTCAACCTGGTACGACGCGGTGCTGTTCCCCATGGACTCCACGCGCTCACTATCATGAGGGCACTGCTCAGTAACATTATCAGTGTCCTCCACGAAGAACATCTTCAGCATCCCAGGATTCGCTGTTCTGCGGTATTCCGCTGGTACGTCCATCAACATTGCAGGAGCATCGTTGGTGCCAGCCCCCATAAACGTCACGATTTCAGGCATGTCGACTGCAGCATCTGGTATTCCCACGATACTCCACTGTGGCCGTCACGTTCAAGCCTCCATGTCCTGTGTATTAACAGATGTTGCCATTGGGGCATGGCAGCAGACCCCCTTTATAGCCGCATCCATTTTCGGCGAGCTGGTTAGCATACCTACGCCACGTCTCGGCCGCACGGACATGGAGCTAGGTCTCCGACGCAGCGTGCTGGTCCATGAGATCCTGGAGTTTTACCATGCCACTGTGACTGCCCGCTTCTTCTGCTGCAGCGCCATGGCCAGCACGCCTGAGCAGTGCCTCATCTGCGACATTCTCCAGCGTCAAAGCCTGCAGGGGCAGGGCGAAGTTAGCGAAGAGTAGAAAATGCAAGATGGCCTTGAACACCATAGGTTCACCTTATCACGCGTGTCTGTAGTTCGGAAAAAAAAAGCTGATGCGCCTTGTGTGGGTGTGAAAGGCTTAAGCCAAAGTTGCTAAAATGGCTTGAGCCAAAATGGCTACGGATGGAGGCCCTTTGGCCACTTAGAGCCGTCTTGGAAGGATCTTGAAGCCTCTTGGAGGTTCGTTGCAAGCTACATTTGGCCATGTTGTGCTACCTTCAGCGATCTAGGAGGCCATCTTTAGCTCTCTGGGGCCTTCTTGGAGCCATCTTGGGCCATCTTGGACGCACTGACCGCTCGCGAAAGGCCCCGTCCAGGTCCAGGGGGAGGGGTACCGAAGAGGAAGGAGGTTGGAAGAGGGGGATGTCAAAACCACTCACGCCCTAAAAGGCTGGTGGGAGGTTCGCCTCCTCCTCTGGAACCGTCAAAATCGCCTCTTGGGGCCCTCTGGGGCCTCTCTGGGTCGCTTCTGGGAGACCTCTTGGAGCGTCTTGGGCGTCTCTTGGCACTCCCGGGAGCCTCTTGGAGCATCTTGGCTGCCTCTGGGGGGAGAGGCTCTTGAGGCTTTTGTTTTGTCTAACGTGCCAGGTCGAAGCTTTGAGCCGAAGTCCTCGGTGGCGCAAAGCTGAGCCGAAGCTCACAAAAATGAAGGGGGTAGACGCCGGAGGAGGAGTCGGAGTGGGAATCGGAGCGGCAGTGGAAATAGGAGCAGCGGGGCCCACGAAAGTGAGTGTGGGGATGTCAAGCTGGATTGCAGCCGAAAGAATCATGCTACAATTGCGATGGCAACAGAAAACGATGACGAATTGTTGGCGCGCGCAACTGCGCCCGGGTGTAGCGAAACCATCTTCTTACACCCATCCGGGATCGAGGCTGCGTCGTGAAGTCGTCCTCTCCGAGTAAACCTCCCACGGCGAAGCCCACTTGACTCAGATGCTTGACGTAAGAGTTCAAATACTGGATGCCGCTTTCCGTTCGCCCACGGGCAATCTTGATCTCGACTTTACCAATAGACAACCATTATGGACTCCTTGGCGCCACTGAGCGAATCGTATTGGTGGCCTCGTTCTTGCCCGGCTTCCGCCCACTGGCCCCAAAGAATACCCCGAAATACTATACAGAATACTAAAGCATAGTCCCCCGCCTATTTTTTACTGGTGTTGACTGTTCCTCCTGTAGAGGGGCAGGCCCGACTTAATTAACACTGGTAGTACAGGCCTGCCACCAGCAGGGCCCGACTGCCACGGGCAGGCCGCCGGTGTGGCCCGACAGCCGGGGGCAGGGCTCCGGGCGGAATGCAGGGGACGGGCACCCAGAGGGAGCACGGGGCCTGGCGACGTCATGGGGCGACCCAGGACGCCTGGGCGCTGCGAGCCACCCGCCGCGTCAGGAGGTGTGAGAGGGAGGGGGGCGGGGAGGGGGGGGGATCGAGGGAGAGGGAGAGGGGGGGGGGGGAGTCCACCAGTCGGCGGCGCGCCAAGAGGGGGGCGGGCGAGGGGGGTGGTCTTCGAAGAGAAGGCAGGGCGTTTCTCGGAAGGCATAGGAGGGCGTCTCCGGAGCTCCCCGCCCCTCTGGGAGGCCCCCCCCCCCGCCCCCCCTCGCCCGACCACCCCTCTGCGGGCAGCCAGGCCAGGGCCCGGCAGTCGCCCGCACGAGGTGCGAAGAGGCTGCCAGGAGGGGTCGGGCGGCGCCCCCGCCCCTGCGGAGGCGGTGGCGGGGCGTGCGCGAACTTTTTGCTCCCGAGAAGGCGGGGCAGCAGCCGCCCGGGACTCTGTCGGTGGCAAGTCACGGGAGCCTCCTATGCCATCTCTGCTGGCTCTTGCGAATCGACGCTGACCGAGACTGACTGGAGCTACCAGACGCAAGTCGGCGCTACATCGACGCTCATCGACACTACATCGACGCCAATCGACGCTGCATCCACGCCTCCTCGTCGACTACCAGGACGCGAACCGGCGCGACCGCACTCCAGAGATGGAGCTGCAAGGACGCACAAGGCTCCCAGGATCTGCCACCCAAATACCTCCTCTGCCGGCAGGCGCAGCGGAGGGCCGCAAAAGCTTCCGTGCTAAAAACAAACGGCGGCCTCGCACGGCCGATGGACCCGGGGGCTGCGCGGGAGCGCCCCCGCACGGCGGCGCGGCCACCCACGCAGCGGGCAGCATCGGCGCGGCAGCGGGGCAGCGGCGCGGCACACGGCAGGGAGGGGGGAAGGAGAAGAACAGGGGGGGGGAGGGGGCGGGAAGAGGACGATGACGACAAGGACGACGCCCACGGGAAGGAAAAAGGGGGGGGAAGGGGAACCAGGGAAGGAGCGCAAGGGCAGAGTCTCCTGCAGTTCCTGTGCATGCCGTTGTCTGTCCCTCGGGGGAAGACGACGAGAAAGGGAGGGAGGGCGACGACGGAGGGGCACTCGACGACCCTCGATCGAGCTAGGCGCGGGCTGCCCGGCGCTCCGCGGAGCATCTACCTCGCCCTGCCGGGTGCGGCCGGTGACGGGGATGCCTCCACTGGGGGGGGGGGGGGGGGGCAACACCTTGGGAGCAAAACCCAGGAGGCCCAGCTGGGCAACCCGAGGCCAAATGTTCGTCAGATCCACGACGGGCTTACGTCGGGCGCTCGTCGGCATTACGTCGGCCTTGCGTCGGGCTCACGCCAGCCTCACGTCGGAGCATCGCCGCGCGAGCGTCGTCCCAGGTCTGGCCGGGCGGAAGAGAGGGCTACATGATGCAGCTGAGGCGCGCCGCGCGAGGCCGCCAGGAGATATTCCTCACAGGACACCGAATTACTTGGCCCGCATGGGGCATGGAGCGCGGGCATCGACCATTGAGCGTCGGTCCGCTCCGCTAGGCGCTAGCGGCCCGCTCCGCTGGTCGCTGGCCTCCGACCGGCGCTCGGCATCAGCGGAACCACTTCCTCAGCGCCCTCAGCGCGCCGACCATGTGGGGATCCTCGCGGGGGGGGTGGCGGGGCGCGGGGGCGGGTTGGCGGCGCCAGCGCCGCCGAATGGGAGTTCATGGGCCTTCCGCTGCAAGGCCTGAACCCTGCTGAGAGCACGCTGGGCGCCGCAAGCGCACACGCACCCATGGACTCACACAAGCCATGTCCATCGCGCGCGCTTCGCTGACGCTCAAATTTATAGCTGGCTTGGGCCCTGCGGCATAGCGCGGAGGAGAGACCCTGCCACGAGTATGCAGAAGCCTGGGGGGCCTTAGCACGCGCCCAATAGGATGCTCACGCCCACTAGGGTGCCCCAGAGTACAGAGAAAGGAACGGTGAGGAGGAGAGGGATAATGAGGAACAGGAGGAAGAGTATCGAAGACGCCCACGGCGAGTCACCGCCCCGTGGCATTGACAGGGACATATGTGGCCAAATGTTATGGAAAAGCATCGCAATTGTACCCGATGTCTATATAACACTCACTTGGATCATCTTGGGGCTGTCTTTGCGCTCTACGGAGGGGCCCTCCTGGGGGGGGGCACCTGGGGCGCTCTCGGGTAACATCGATGGCCTTCTGGGGATGTTTTGGGACCATTTCGGCCCGCATGGCTTAAGGGGGGGGGGGGGGCCCTTGTTGCCCTGTTCCCTTCTTCTGTAGTCTTAGCCCCAGCTGGGATGCTGTTTGGGGAGGCCTGGGACAACTTTGGGTGCTGATGGGGGCGTCTTGGACGCTCTGGAGAGCGAAAATGCGATAGTGTGAAAAACCTCTCATTCAAAGAGCAATGGACACCTAACGGCGGCGCGCCGGGGGAGGGAAGTGAGAAGGAAAAGGCCTTCTGAGAAGCGGCGGAACTTCTCAGAAGTCCTCTGACTTTTTTTTTCCTAAATTTTCTGGGAAGGTTTCGAAAACTTCTTGGAAGGCCGGTGGACTTCCGAGCCTTCTGAGGAGGCACGCCCCTTCTCACTTCCCCCCCGGCTCGCCGCCGAAATTCACGATGTTTACCCCGCCAGTGACATCGCGGGTTCTCCCAAGACGGATGTCCGTTTGGAAATCAACCGCCTCTCCCTCTGCACTCTTCCCCTGCCTTCCCTCATAGGACTCTGCAGAGACGAAGCATGTTGCTTGGGTGGGCGGATGTGAAAGTCGCGTCCCGCAGTCAGAGAAGTTACTCGCCGGTCGGAAGAAGTAGGTGGAAACATGAAGAAGGAAGGCGTTGGAAGTAGATTGGGATTCCGTCCGCCCCCTGAAGATGAAGGAATAGGGAAACACGCTCGTTGATTCTGGTAGGAAAAAACGATTGTGATCTGGGAATCCAGGAATCCAGAAATACCTACTTTCAATGACCGACGATACCTCCTATTCTCTCCTCTCCCCGACTCTACACTGATACCGTGCAAACTCCTCGGCGCTACTCCACCCCTGACAGACGCGTAGAGAAGGCGAGGGACCCGGGAGGGGGAGGAGGGAAGGACGAAGGGACTCGGGATGGGGCAGCAAAACGAAGAAAGAAAAAAAAAAAAAAAAAAAAAAAAAAAAAAAAAAAACGAGGACCGTCCGCCACGGGAGTCCGCAGTGGGGTCTACCCGTCTCCCTGGGCCAGTCTCGGGGGGCTCCGCGCGGGGCGACGACGACCCCGCAAACCGCCCGTGCTGATTGCCGAAACATACAAGTGTATACACATATGTGAATTTCCATACATATTTCTATGTATAAATAAGCATGAACGTGCCCGTGGGTATATACGTGTATCTATGTATCTCCAACTTGCCTCCTCGCCCCTTCTCTTTTGACGTCTCATCCCTTGCCAGAGTCCTGTGTGCAAGGGGGGGCTGCCAGCGCAAGACCCCTCGACCCCGAGGGACCCCGCGCCCTGAAGGGGCGGCAGCGCGAACGCGAGTCCGAACCCCCGGAATGAACCCCAGGAGCGGCAGCGCGAACACGAGACCGAACCCCTGAGATGAGGGCGGCAGCGTGAACGCGAGTCCGAACCCTTAAGAGGGAGCGGCAGCGCGAACACGAGACCGAACCCTCCCCAAGGGAGCCCCCCCTTCCATGCACTCCACTCTGGTTTGCCGTCTTTGCCCTGGGGAGGAAGGGTCGGGAAAATGTTAACAGCGAAGCTGTGAACCGCGGCAGTGCTACCTACTTTGGCCTCTCTCTCTCTCATTCTTTTTCAACCCACATCATGATCGAGGGCTGCCGCCATGCGGCAAAAGCAATCCAGCTCCGCCAGGCCGAACGAGTTCTGCAGCACGTACTGCAGCCCCCCCGAGACTCCGAGAAGAAGAGCTCCACCTCTGTTGTGTCCTGCCACATGCCCATGATAAGCGCGTGGCGCACGTTGATGTAGCGCTTGCAGTGCAACGTCGCGCCACCGCGCCGCAACGAGTACGGCGCGCACTGGTGGCGCTCGAGCTCAAGGCAGGAGAAGAGCTTCTGAAGACCCGCTTGACGTTCTCCACCACGGATCTCAGGATCGCGCGCCCTGCGGCAACCTGTCGAGGAGGTGCCGCACGCCTCTGACCATGCGCGGGTCGTGGAGCGCCACCGACACCCACAATGAAGACGAACTCGCTGGCCCACCAGCGGCCCAACGACTCAATCCATTCACTAAGTCGAGAGTCACGTTGCTCAAAGTCAGACTGCACCGGCGCATCATGAGACTCCACCCAATACGTAACAGCCAGAACCATTATGCAATACCGTCGCAAGGTGCAAGGCTGCACCGAGGTGTGCGATAACTTCCCAAACGCCCTGGGCGCCTGCACACGGGACATGGGCAGTGCACCTCCGTCGGGCATGATCGGCCGCGCGGATGCCGCCTCCCGTGGAGGAGTCGTCGGCAGGATCCTCGGCAGTCTCGGTATACCCGTAGATTGGTCGCGCTGGGGCTGCCAGAAGCAAGGCCGATACCCTCTGACAGCAGCATTAAGCCCAAGGGAAGAAGAGCCCCTTCTTGATATCACACCAGAGCCCACTTGCGAAACCTTGAGATGGGCAGACCTCGCATACAAATGAGGGCACGCACGAAGCCCCCAACGTAGAGCAGCCGGCGTGTCAGGAACCCCAGTGCTGTGACGCGGCCCTTCCATCTCCAGCGCCAGACCAGAGCTGTCTCCTCTGCCCAGCTGATGAGTCTCCGAGGCCACAAGCCGAAGCGCATCAACTCCAGCGAATGCAGTCGAACGCCTGGACCTCGAACTTCAGCACGCCTGGCCAACTCCTCGACCATCTGCACGCGCATGTCCTGCTGGGCCTCGCGGCCACAACGAACCTGGTGGAGAACCAGCGCATCCTCGTCATAGTCGGCCGCCATCCTCACAACGCCCTCGGATGTGGCGAAGCTGCTAACCTGCTGCCACAGCAGCACAACGTTCGGGACGTCGCCAAGGTACCTCTGGCAGTGCGCCCAACGCCCTCAGATCCAGGTCACCATTGCACACTGAAAGGAATCGCCTAGCAACACGCAACGGACCACCTCCAGCTCGCGGGTCTTGCGGAACTGGGCTGCCATGGCCGCCACTGTGCGACCATGGGGGAAGTCCATCAGCATCTCCTGCGCGACAGGATCTGCAGGCTCCAGGCCACCGCCACTCCAGCGCAAACAATGAGCAGCTCGGAGCTGGCACGGGGCAGCGCGGCACACATGAGTGCGCCACCGCGCCAACTCCCCCTGCGAGCACTGATGCAGACCCTTGGGCCTGGACCCAGCGCACGCCCTCGGGGCGCAGCGGGCGAAGGTCGGCAGCCTCTGCTTCTCGCAGCCTGTACCACACCAGCGACGACCTTCGCGAAGCCACCGCTTGAAGTCGTCAGCACCGCCTGGGACCACCTCCTTCTCAACCTCCTGCAACTCGTCAACGACGCCCTGCCACTGAGTCAACGGGCCCCAGTCGCACCAGCACAGCCTCTCTCGCCGAACGGGCGAGATGTCGGCCGCCTGAGTGACAACTGGCTGCCGCCCCAGCGCTTGCGACACATCTTGCCTGTGCTTGGCCCCCAGGCAACACACGTTCTTGATCAGGTCAGACAGCTTCACCTCCACAGGAAATGCCCGACGCACCAAGGCCTGCACCCGCAAGATCACGACGAAGAGGCCGGACCGCCTGTCTCGCCGCCCGCGCCCGTCCACGCGGAGGCGGGCCAGGTCCGCGCGTGGGCGCCCCGCGCTGAGGAAAACCCAACGCGCGAGTGAAGCACGATCTCGGATCCTCCTCACCTCCTTCTCCACCAGCAGCTGCACGTTGCCGAGCTCCATCACATCAGGCCAAGAACACTGCACCACACGGCTCGCCTCCGCATCAAGTCTCGGATGCGGCGCACACCGAGACGCTCGAGCCCAGCATGCCCAGAGCACGCCTGATCCCACCTATGCCGACGAACAGAGAGAACAGCATGCCCTCATCATGCCATCTGCCGCCGCGCCTAGCCCGAGCTGCTCGCGCGGCCGCGCCCCCAGGAGCAAGGGTCGCACAGCTCTTGGCGCGGTCCCCTCCTGACCGCTGGCATCCGACACCGTCACTATGAAGCTGACGGCGGTCCGCGCGTCACACCTTATGAGTGGTGAGAGGCCCAGCGTGGTCGCAAACTCCCTGAGGGCACAGCTGGGCAGGCGCCGCTCACTTCTCCAGCGCGCCACGGCCTACCACAAATAACCGAGGGCGGACGTCGCCTTCCAGCGGAACATCCCAGCTCACACCCAGCGGCCTGCCAGCCCCAACAACCACATCTGCGCAACCTTCTCGCGGTCCAGCGCGCAGAGGCTGGGGCTCACCAGCGTGTGAGTGAAGTCCTTGAGGGGGGTGGCCATGCCCAGCTCGCCATTCGACAACTCGCCCAAGGCCTGGCTCCTTCAAACGCGGCTCACGGGCTTGTCCTCGCTGTGAGAAACTCCGCGGGCCTCGCGCCGTGCCCTGGCCAAGTGCGCAAACCCCGTGGGGCCCTGCACTCTGGCGGGCTGTCAGCGCCACCTCATCGGCAACATCCAGGTGGTTGAGGTTGTCGACGCTCACCTGCCAGGCAAACCAGGCGCAAGAGCATGCATGGGGTAGAACACGTCGCACCCCCAGCAGGCCTCACCTTCTTTTTCTAAACCTGGAGCAGCACATCACCACAACACATCTGAACTGGGCTCCAGTGGCATACAAGACGGCAACCTGTCAACTCACCGATGCCATGGAGTAGGTGAGGAGCTTCTCTCTGGTGGGCCCCGAAGCGCTGGGCGGCCGAGATCCTGGACCAGCCTCGTGATGCCCTGAAGGGGTTCGCCCACTTGGACGGGGCGCAGCTGTGCTTCTGCCCTGGGCGCCCAATGCAGAGGGGGGCGCGCGCGTCTTCGTAGCTGCGGCCAACCTGTCCACGCACGGGCTCCCTCTTCGAGGCCAAAGGCGAGGCCTGCCCCGAAGCTGAAGGCAACGCACCCAGCCCGCACGGAAGAGGAAGAGGTGGGCCGCTTCGCAACTTCTGCTCCACTGGCAGCGGCTCGACACCTGGGACCCACTCAAGCACGAGCCTCCCGCGGATCTGCTGGCTCAATCAACCCCGTCGCCGAGATCCCGCCCGTGGGGATCATCGCCGCCGCCATGGACACGCTGCCACCCCTGGCCAGGCCCAGCGCAGCACGGCTACCAGGCTTGGACAGCGCGATGCACGCGTGCCAGACCTCGGGCAGGGGGGCACGCGCAGAAACACCACCACAGCCCCCCTGACAAGGTCAGGAACACTTCGCTACCCCTCAGGAGGATGCTCTCCCACTTGGCCGTGGTCGGCACGAGGCCCACGTCGCCCTCGATGGTCTCCCGCAACCAGTCGCTAGGGGCGATGGTCATCACGAGGCGCCGCAGACCCAGGCCCATGCGGAGCCCCGACTTGCGGACCCCGAAGAGGCCGCCCAGCACGCGACGCCCTCTCACCTGCACGACGCACTCCTCCTCGATGGGCCCCAGGATCCTGAAGTCCACCCGCGCGGCGAAGATGACCTCCCACTCGGCGTCCTCCGCCCGCGCGCGGAGGGTCTCTGACATCTCGCCCAGCTCATCAGGGTTCCCGAGGGTCCACTCGGGGGTCTCCAGCACATCTCGGATCTAGCCGGCACGCACCTCCGTGGCCAGCGCCGACCCGTTGGCGTGCTTTGACGGCAGGGCGATCATGAGGCGTTCTCTACCGAGCTTCTCGGCGGGGTGCACCCCTTCGCCCGCGTAACTGAACGCCGACGACAAGAGCTCAGACTGCCACTCCAGGTTCGGCATCTCGTCGCTGCACGGCTCAAGGAAAACACACTCGCTCCTTGCCAGGTGCTGCAAAACCTCAACCTGCACCCAGCAAGCAGGACCGAGGAAGTGGCGGGCGCTGTCACCCTTCAACAACGGATGCTTGCCTCCGCAGCGGTACCTGAATCCCAGCGCCTGCATCACCAAAAACAGCCAACCGTTCATGTCGTCATTCGCCGCCGACGTCACCATGTCCACGATGCAACCCTGGTCGAACTCCAGCTTCAAGTCACAGACCTGAACGAGAACGCAGGGCAGCGGCATCATGTCGCGGCGACCGCTCCCTGCAACAGTGTTTTGGGATTCGCCGACCGTCCATCAGTAGAAGGTCCGCAATCAGAGGCCAGCGGCCTCGCCTGAAGTAAGACATGACATAACTTGCCATCTCGCGGAAATACGTGGTCTGGGGCCAGAGGCCCCGCCTGCAAAAAATCATGATGTATTACGTCAGCCCCAAGATGCATCACGCAGCATCCAACTTCACGGCGCGGAAACCCACGCACCCGCTGGAGCACACCTGCACCTCGCAAATCATCAGGGCGTGGAAAGATACGAATTACTGGCAGCTCGTCGTCAGAGAAGGCATAGTCGCAAGCCTCTTTGCACTCCACCTCGTCAAAAACTGGCGGGCCAGCGATCTCGGTCTCCTCGCTGCCGTCAGAGGAGTCCGTGCGGTCGCCGCGCTCTACCTCCTCTGTCATGCACGATGCTGTTTGTTCTTTCGGCCGCTCCTGTACTTGCCCCTGCTCGGGCCCTTGCCCCGGCCCTCGGCTCGGGCGGGCTGAGGGCCCCTGTCGCAGGGCCAGGGGCGCAGCGCCCCCGGCGGGCCCTGCCTGACTGGGCTGCGTTCCACCAAGGGCAGGGCGAACACCACGCGGCGCGGCGGGCCCACGGCGCCTGGCCTCGGGCGCAGGCTGCACCTCCGCGGCGGCCCCGGGCTCGAGCCGCGATCCGCGGCCTTCGCCAGGGGGGGCGACGATGGCGCCCGAGCGCGCTGCGGCGAGGGCAGCGCTCTCCCGGGGCTCGGGGCGCCTGCCTCTGCAGCCCGACTCGAGGCGCGCGGCCCCTCCGCCCCCGCGGGCGCGGAAGGCGGGGCTCCAGCCCTTCATCCTGCAGCGCCTCGGCCGCGACCCTTGCCATCGCGTCAGCTAGCCTCCCGCTGCGACGCCATCGGCTTCGGCGCCTCGTTCAGCGCCTGGGCCCTAGGCCTCGCCGAGGCGGTCCCTCAGCTTCGCGCCCTCCGAGCAAGTTGCCGCGGTCGACGCCGGCTCTGCCCGCGAGGCCAGTCCGACAACCGCGGGGTCCACCAGCGCGAGGTGCTGCGCCACCTGCCAGCGCCCGCCCTTGGCTGCCTGCTCGCTGGCGTTCAGCCCCTGCGCCGGCATGTCGCGCAAGCGCGGCAACTCTCCCCGAGTGGGGGCGTCCAGGCACTTGCCTATCATCCTCATCTCGTGCACGTGGCGAACGCCCCCCTCGCTCTGGGGATGGGCCCCATGCCGCGCGCCTGCGCCGTGCGGCACCCCGTTCGCACTCAGGCTGTCCAGCTCGTTGTAGTCGACGGCCCCGCCCCGCTGTGCCAAGTACTTGCGAATGTGCTTCAGATCCGCTGCCATCATCGCTCCTGGACCGGAGCGTGCTCGGCGTTGTACTCGGCGGCGGGAACCAGCGGGTAGGGCCTCGTCAAAAGTGATTCGTCGGAGGCGTCGCGGTTGCGATTCTGGCCCCCGCGGCGGAGCCTACGTAGGCCCTCCAGCGCATCGTCAGTTCCCTCGGCGACCGACTCCGTCATGTGGCGCTTGCGCCTCAGCCGCACTCGCAGCCCCTGGATCGTCCCCTGAGCTGCTCCTCGTTCTGCGCACCGCCGCCTCCGCCGTCAGCTCCAACGGCCGCCGCTGGACCGCCAGCGCCGCCTCCTTCGGGGCCCATGCCAACGGCGGCGCCGCCGTCACCAGCAGAGGCTCTCCTGGCACCGCCTCTAGCGGCCGCACCGTCGGTCAGGGCAGCAGCAGCCGGCGGGGCGCCCAACCCCGCACCAGTGGTAGCCTTCACCTCCATCATGCCCGAGTGCACCACGTTCCTGATGGCCCACTGGGTGGCAAGGTGGCAGGTCCCAACCGCCTGCTCGCACAAATCCGGGACCGACGCGCCCATGGCGCACAGCCCCTGCGGCACGGGCCAAAAGTGCCCCTGGCTGCAGGCCTCCACCGTCGCCCCCACGAACTGGCCTGCAGCCCCCGCGGGCCAGGCTCATGACATGCGGGACTCCGCGATTTCGCAAGGCTGGCCCCACAGGTCGCACATGACGATCTCCAGCATCGCTCCATGGAGGAGCTGCAGCTGCTGCAGCGCGCAGGGGGCCAGCGGCGGGTAGATCCAAGGCCCACGACCGCCTCCACAGCCCGCTGGTGCCGCCACCGGGGGCATGCCGAATGGCTCGCCGCACGGAGGCAGGCTATCGGGCACCCCAGGCATGCCTCCAGCCGCCGCCCTGCCGGGGCAGCCTCTGGCCAAGCCCAACTGCTCAGCTCCGCCAGCGGCGCCCCACGGCGGCACGCCCCAGCTGCCCGCGGGACCACCCGCGGTGGGGGCTGGCGGCGGCGCGCCAGCAGGAGGTGAAGCTCCCACGGCCAGCGGCACCAGGAGGACCTGCGAGCGCGCCGACTCGAGGCAGCCCAGGGGCGCCGCCCACCGTCCCTCCCGCGCCAACGGCAGCCCCAGCCACGGCTGCAGGAACACTTCGCACCGTGCCGCGGGCGGCTCCTCTCCCAGCCGCAGCGCCAGCAGGCCCTCTCCGGACGGCGCCGCGTGCTGGGGCGAGCTCGACCATGCCACCCATCGCCGGCTCGGCAGCCCGCGCGCCGCCAGCTCCAGCTTTTCCTGCGGCGCCTCCAGCGCCTCCAGCGCCTGCGACCGCCGCGGCCTTGGCGAGGCGCGGCGGAGGCGGGGGCAGCAACCCGCCCACACCAGAAGGCAGGGCCGTCAGCGCCCC